TTTTGCACCTTCATTTGGATTCTGTTTTAGTTTCTGCAGAAAATCTGTTCTGTTCTTTTTCAGCCTTTTTGAAATAACCCGTTTGATTGCTGATTCTTCCTTGTGAGATAAAGAACATTTCCACACTAGTGCAGGATGCACAGATATAACTGTTATCTTATGTTCAAAGTCAAAAGTGTTTTGACATTCAACACACTTTAGAAGCTCCTTCTGCATATTAGGAGCATTCAACAACACAACACACTCTGTCAATCCAGGGAGGCTTTTCTTTAGTATGTCACCTTTGTGAATGTGGACAAATGGAGCCATTAAGGCTTTCAGCTCCTCTATTTCTCTATCATCAGGCCTTTCAAGTACATTACTTGCTCTGTTTCTTGGCATCAATGTCTTTTGACAGAATTTCTTGAGCTGCAATGGGATCTTGTCTGGTAATGAAGGTCTTACTATGCACAGTGTATTATAGAGCTCAGTGAAATTGTTCTGAAATGGTGTCCCTGAAAGGATGATCCGCCTTTTAGTCTTAACTTTTGACAGACATTTCCAAATTCCACTCCTGTGATTCCTCGGTGTATGCCCCTCATCAAGGACTAGCAAGCCTGGCATCTCAAGCAGAATCTTCCTCATTTCTTCTCTTTCTTCACCAACAACCCCATTACTTTTCTTAGGAACCTTTGTCTCTGCTTTTGCTTCCTTCCTCTTCTTCTTTCTCCCTTCATCATTAGTGAATTTACCACCAACAAGCTTCTCAAACAAACAGTAGCTAACTCCAAGTATGCTTGGCTTGTTTGTCCACAAATACAACTTCATCATACGTATCTCATTCTTGCTGAAGTTTTTGTGCCTAATTTTCTCCATATAGTCCACAACTACCTTTCTCTCCTCTTCTGAAAACTCTAGGTCATTCAAGTTATGAAATGGAACATTAATCTTCCACTTCTTAAATTCTTCCACCCAAGTAACTAATACACTTTTAGGAGCAACAATTACAGGCCTGCAGTTCTGGAAAATTTGCAGAAATGCTTGGAGAAAGACCATTGTCAATCTTGTTTTTCCAGTCCCAGGAGCATGTGAAATTATGCAGCCTCCGATCTGATTAGCATTTGAGCTCCTCAACTTAGCAAGATCAAAACTTCCAGCTAAATTCTTCCACAAGAACCTGAAACCCTCTCGTTGGTGAGGATACAAGTTCATCCAAATCTCTGGTATCAATTCCCAAACTTTGCCTTCCATAAGATCACAGGAATCCCATAAATTCCCCCCTCCCAACTGTAACTTGAGTTGATTGAACAAAGAACCATCCTTTTCAAAATACAAATTCTCTCTCTCTGAGCCATGGTAATCTTTTTCCTATAAGAGACAAGATTGACAAGTTAAACACCATATTAAAGGGCCAATTTTCTATATCTGCTGGAAACTAAGATGACTCTATTGCTGTAAATGTGAGATCAATACTTACTATAGGTGAGCAAACATATTTAATCTCAAGTTTCACAAAACCACAAACAATGCATCTTAGACCGAGTTCCAAATCAAGGATGAGATCATGCTCCCCTTTAGAACAAAGGCTGGCATCATTTTCTCCATTTGCTGATTCATTCTTCTCATTGTCACTAACCTGCACATAGAGCCCATGTCGTTTAAATAACTTTTTAGATACGCTAACACTCTCTAAAACCAATTTGAGAACTCCAAAGGCTTATTCAAAAGAAATCATAAATACCTTAGAAACATATAATCTTATTCTAGATGAAAAGGATTAAAAAAACAGTATATATAATATACCAAAGCTACAAGCTTGAAGCTGCAAGTTATCCAATACTAAAGTCTATAGCAGCATACTTTACAAAACACAGAATCACACGGTAACACATCAAAAGGACAGCTTATCTGAAGAAAAATGAAGGATAGTTCAATACTTACTGCACCATAATCTGTTGAACCAATTTCATCCAATGTGAGATTGAAATCCATTTCTTTCCATAAATTGTCCAGCTCTTCCTCAGATCCTGATTTTTCAACTGGCTTATCAATCCCAAAACTAAACCTTTGAGGAAGTGTCTCCTCTGTACAAGGAGAATCAGAACCTTTGTCAGGATCTTCTTCCTTCAAAGGAGCTAATAAATCTTCTAGCAAATTTCCATCTCCTTTTTTCAGTATTGAATCAGCTAGAACTCTAACAAAATTAGCATTTTCTTCTTTGGCCACTCTCACTTTCTTTTTCTCCCTTTTCTTTCTCGGAACTCTTACTCTCTTTTCCTCTTTACTTTCATCAGACTGTCCATCTCTCCCCTCATCAGATTCTTCTTCCTTGCAAGAATCCTTAGAATTCCTGGACTGGTGGACATTTTTGTCCCCTTTACCCAAAGAAGTATGTTGTTCGGAACAAAAATGTGATTCTTCCCCCTCTGTTAACCCATGTTCAGGTTCGCTATCAGTGTCATTGGAATCTGAAGAAATACTTATAGCACTAGACCTGGGCGAATCAAAGATAAGATCACACTCCCCTTGAGAACAAAGGCTGGCATCATGTGTTCCATTTCCTGATTCATTTTTCTTATCGTCACTAACCTGCACAGACAACACGTGGTTTAAATAACTTTTTAGTTACACTAACACTTCTTAGAACCAATTCAAGAACTCCAAAGGCTTGTTCAATATAAATCATAAATACCTTAGAAACATATGATCTTATTCTAGATGAAAAAGGGTAAAAAGAAAAAGTAAATATAATAATGTACTAAAGCTACATGCTAAGGTTGAAACAGAGCAGTATCCTGCATTTGATGCTCTCATTTATCCAATACTAAAATTCATAGCACCATATATACTTTCCACTTTCAAGCTACTAAACTAGTTCAAAACACAGAATCACACAAAAGCACATAGGAAGAGCAGCTAATCTAACTTAGAAAACTAAAGGTGGTCCAATACTTACTGCACCACAATCTGTTGAACGACCTTCATCCAATCTGAAATTGAAATCCATATCATTCCATAGATTGTTTAGTTCTTCCTCCTCATACCCTGAATTCTCAACGGGGTTATCAAACCCAAAACTGAACTTTTGAGTAAGTGTCTCCTTTCTACAAGGAGAATGAGAACATTTGTTAGAATCTTTTTCCTTCAAAGGAGCTAATAAATCTTCCACCAGGTCTTCATCTCCTTTTTGCCTCTCAACACTTACTTCCTTTTCCTCTTCACTTTCATCAGACTCATCGTCCACAGCATCTTCTTCTTCATGCAAGCTAGAATCCTCAGAATGCCTGGATTGATCAACATTTGATTCCCTTTTACACGAGGAAATCTGTTGTTTGGAACAAGAATCTGATTCTTCCTCCTCCTCCGGTAGCCCATATTCAGGTTCAGGTTCACCGTCATTGTCGTCGGAATCTGAAGAAATACTTATAACACTGGAATCAGACAGACTCCTCAACAGCTCAACATCGTCTTCCTCCTCAAGTCCGTTCCTTTTCCTCTTCCCAAGTTTTGATTTTGCGGAGGCACCATGCCCTGAATCACCCCATCGCCCTTGATTTTCTCCAACACCCTTTGATTTTCTCGCGTTTCTCAAATAATATGTTTGTGAACGAGTTCTTCTTGCAATGCATGAGAAAGAATCCATCGTCGAGACACAGAAAGCTGTTTGGAGGGTGAGAAACAACAAGGAAAGCAAAGAAGTGGCGTGAATGCTGTTTTGCTTTGGTTTGGACAACTTTTGTCCAATCAAAGCAACTGAGGAGCTTTGACCTTTAAGCCTTAAGAAATAAATAACTTTCTTGAGAAACTTCCACTTCCAGTTGTGGTCCGAGGAAAAATGGTGAATTCTTTTCATATCCCCAGCCCCAACAAATAGAGTCTTCCTTCGAGGGCTCCCGAAATAAGCAACTCAACCATGGTGTCCTTCAATTCAAGTAAGAGTTCCTTCTGAATTTGGATAGTGAGATAGGTCATACTATGAGAAACATAATAATATAAGATGTCATGTTTAGATATCTACTTAAGGAATAAGAGATTTTCTAACTTATCTTTTTAAATATTATTAATTATAGTATTTATAATTAATTTTATATAAAAATTTATATTAAATTAAATTAAATAATATAAAATATAAATTTAAAATAAAATGTAATATTTATAATTGAACTATATAAAAAATTATGAATTTAGTACCAAATTTTATATAAAATTAATTATAAATATCATAATTAATAAAACTTAACCTATACATTATACAAACTCAAGAAATAATTCTTCCCATCCAATTTAGTTGTTTCAATTTAACTTTTTTGTATAAAGTTTGACCAAAAATTCTTTTGATATAACAATTTATGGATAACAGTTAACAATTTCATGTAAATTACCATAAAATAGGTAATTTATGGTAAATTTGTTTATTTTGAAATTGTTACAAACTAAATATTTGATAAAATTTTTATTTATGGTTGGATTAGCATATAGCAATTATGATTTGAACCGCTAACAAATTGAAAAAATTGTGTTAAGGAGTTTTTTATATAAGATCATTAATGAATTAAATTTTTTTAATTTTATAAATAAGTTTATCCTTTTTAATTTTTTAATTTTTTAGCATGATATGTAATTAACACTTATTTAATTAATTTTAACTTTATTTTTCTCTTTAATAATATTAGTGAATTAAAATTTTTTAATTTTATAAATAAGTTTATCCTTTTAAATTTTTTAATTTTTTACCATGATATGTAATTAACACTTATTTAATTAATTTTAACTTTATTTTTTCTCTTTAATAATATTACATTATTATTATATTTTTATTTTTTACTTTAATTTATTATTAAAAAATTTATACTTCCTATAATTTAATAAACACAATTTGCTAATTAAACAAAATAATTACAAGTTTATTTTTTTATTTATTCAAAAATAATATAATTTTTTCTTTATTAAAAATTAAAATAAGTGTGTGATGTCATTTTTATATTTTATTTATTTATTCATTTTACAATATTAATACTTCTAAGAATAAAAAATATATAAAAAGAAAAACTACATCTAATTTCTTTTAAACATACTCTTATTAATCATTTAATGTCAAATAGTAACTATTAATTATTATATAACCAAATAATTATATCTATCAAAATCTACCATCTACAATCTGCTGCTTGTTAACTTTAACCCACTATCTAATATACATTAACTGCTACCTACTGTCTATTACCACTATTTACTATTTGTTACCCATTACTTGTTTTTCACTAAATTTTAATTGCTATAGTAAACATGCCCTTAATAATTTTAAATAATAGGTAGATAATAATTAAAAGGTTTTTTCTTTTTATATGTAGTTTTTATTGAATATTTTTATTTAGATTAAAAAAATTTTCAAGTGTTATTAATTTATTATATAAAATTATTAAATTAATTTACATATTGTTAGAGATATACAATAACAACTAAACAAGAGTGGAAAGTGTATATGTAAGAGTCAATAACATAGATTAACATAAAAAAAATTGTTTTTTAAGTTAAAAATATAGTTTAAACACTAAAATTACTTAAATATCTTTAATAATTTTTTTTAATGTTTTTTCATTAATGGTAATTCAATAATTACAATATCTAATTGCACATTAAAAGATAAATATAGATAAACACCAAAATTTTAAGGGTTTATTTACTTGAAAATAAATATTATCTTATAAATTAAGTTTAGAATTTAAATTCTACGAGCCAACACTTGAAAGAAAAAAAACTTTTGATTCTTGAATGCTTAACTCCAAGGAGGATTAATTTTGAACGACACCCTGACATAAATCTTTAAAAAAAAAGAAAAACTTAAAAAACAAGAAACTCATAGTTTAATACATCTAAAAAAAGAATAATATATACTAGAGAAGTGTCTGGTCTACCAAAGATTTTGATCTTTCGATTAACTGAAAATTGAAAGGGACTTGTTTGCTTGCTTTCTCTTTCTTGAGAAGGCATTTTTCACTTATCTTAAAATACTATTTTTTATAGTATATAAATAATAATTAACAATTTTTTCTTTTTATGTATATGTAGTTCTTTGCTAAGTATTTGATTAAAAAAATTTAAGTGGATTCATATTTTATAATTTGAATTGTTTATTAAAAGTGCAATTAATCTTATAAATTTATTAAAATACCCTCAATAAAATATTTTTATTAAAAGTATTTTAAGGCCTGTTTAGTATTATAATTAAAATTCAATAAACAATGGATAATAATTAACAAATAATAGTAGTAGATAACGTGTAATAATTAGCAAAAAAGTGAATGATAAATAATAAATAATGGATTTTAATTGATGTAACTAATGGATTATATAATAATTAGTAATTATTGTTTAACGTTAAATAACTAATAATGATATGTTTAAAAATAATTAATCTATTTTTTTATAATTTTTATTATTAAAA